TACTTAGCATATTATCATTTTTATAGGATTGCATCCCCATGTTGACCTTTTGTGTTCAGTTTGATTGTTTCTTGTTCAAAAAATCGAGCTTAGTATTATTTTTTTTATTTACTCACAAACTCAAATGCTCTCTAGTCAAATACTAAATCTGATTGTTAACCATCTGCTTCTTTTAATTTTAATGTGTTATCGTTAAAATATTTTTTAATTGGCGTGTTTTGTGATTCCTGTTGATTCTCTGAACAAAATAAATGCCCCTTTTTATGTTATTTTTTAATGAAACGATTCAAATTATTAAAAAGCGACATTTGAGAAACTGATAAGATACTGAAAATGTTAAACAGCTGCGTAAAAGTTATTAAAGCCTAGATAAAAGCTTATTCTAGATTTCATATTTCAGTTTTACAATTTGCCTATTTTGTTGACACTGATTTTAATATAATTTTAACCTGATGGAGAAATTATTTAATTAGTTCCTTCCAAAAAAAGCTCAATTGCCTCAACCTTTTTCATTTGCTAGCATTGGGATAAATGTCATAGTCAATAGTTTTCACTAGATTCACTGGAAAAAACTGCTCTGTCGATTGTTGGCCGCTTTTTTGTTACTCACCACCAGAACTGAAAATTGAGTCCAACAGCTTGAACCTAATGGCATTTGCCCATTTTTCTCTGCCTCTTTAATTCTGCTGAAGAGTACTCTCTACTGCTCAGCGGCAGATGCTGCGCTAATTGCCTAACAGGCAACATGTGTGTCAGCATGTGCTTGCACAACGTTTCGTAATCGCTCTACTACCACAACCACCACCACTGCTACAAACAGTCGACACATAACGTTGACCGCTGTTACTGTCGCCAGTGTAGCTCCCATGAGATCATCGCCAGCAAGTGTCACCCCTCTTTGTGGCAAGCAATTGTCTGTGGATTGTGTTGTTTCTTCTTCTTCTTCATCTTCTTCTACTCCTGTTTGCACTCATCTCAATTTTGCTGGATACTGAGCAATACTGTGCAGTGTGCACTGACACTTCATCGGAAGGCATGCTCATCGTATGTTCTGGGTGATAGGGAGGACAAAAGTTATTCAATCTTCTAGTCTCGCCTTTCTCGTGTTGATTTTTGTGGCAACAGTTTTGTCGACCCATCTTTACGCCTCTGCCGTCTACGTTTGGAACAGTGTGCCTCTCTTCTCTCAAATTTCACCCTTTCTGTTGAGCATTCCCCACCAGCATCTGTATGTACCGTAGGTTTTATCACCTGCATCAGAACAGAGTTCCCACCAGTTGGTCACCAGCTCACACGCACCGGCGGTGCACGAACTCAAGAACAGCTGAGAACGGGCTCCACTTCTTGACCTCTTTTCTAAATTACCCGTCGCTTGACAAGTCATCCCCTCCTGAGGTTTTAAAAGGTCAGTTTTCAATATTTGCTGTTGTTTTTATCAATCATCAACAGTTACTTTTATCTTTAGTTTTTACAAAGTCCCTCGTCAACAATGATCATTCTCGACACTTCACCTGCAACAACTACTGCTCCGGAGCAGCTTCCCCATGAAAATGGTCACTTTTTCGAGGGTGCAGAAAAGCGTCTAGTCGTCTACTATGCCACCAGCACCAACACAGTCGACACTACTTCGTCCTTTGTGCTACCGGACCTTCGCACTGTTCCGCAAAGTGAATGGGAGGAAGTGCTGGAGTTGGCCAACTGCAAGATTCTACACAGCATGTCTAACAGTGAAATGATTGCCTACCTGCTCAGCGAATCCTCAATGTTCATCTCCCGCAATTGTGTGCTCCTCAAAACTTGTGGCACCACAACTCTCCTGCTCGCTCTACCAAAGCTGCTCCAGCTGGCTCCTAAACTGGGCCTTCAAGTGGTCGATGTCTACTACTCGCACAAGAACCTGCTCATTCCCCAGGCTCAATCAGCGCCACACCTCAGCTTTGATCAAGAGTGCGACTTTCTCAACAACAAACTGCCTTCAAAAGGTGTGAAAACAGCATTCTCAGCAGGTAACATGAGCCTTGACAGATTCTTTCTCTACTCACACAACAGCGACACCTTTGAACGCAGCCCAAACTTCAGTAAAAATGAGCATCTAAAGTTTGAAATGATCATGGAGAATCTGAATGAATCGGTGATGGAGCAGTTCATTTTCACTGGCAAACCACATGTTACGGCAAAGGAAGTGACGATCAAATCGGGCATTTCACGCTTGATTCCTGAAATGCAAATTGATGATTACATCTTTGATGGCTGTGGTTACTCGATGAATGGACTCAGTGGCACAAACTACCTCACCATTCACATTACTCCTGAGAAAGGTTTCTCTTTTGTGTCGCTTGAAACTAACATTCCAATGAAGGATTATGGCGCCTTTGTTCGAAAGGTGCTGAAGTGTTTCAAGCCGGGTAAACTTCAGATCAATTTGATGCTAGCCGAAAGTGAACAGTTTAAAAAAAGTAAGTCGATTTTTGAACTTTTTTCTCGTGTTGAACTGCGTGGTTTTAACCGGTTGGAGCTAACAATGACCCTAGTGAAAACTCTCAATGTAATTTACGCACGATACTCGTCCACCAAATGACACTTCCGCTCAATTTTGTTTTTATCACCTGTATTTAGAGCAATTCACTTTATGAAATCATAATATTTACTTTATCAACAAATATTTTGTTTTTACGAGAAAATGTATCAGTTTGCAATAACTTTAAATATTTTTTGTACTAAAATTAAAATAAACTATTTTATTTGGGTCTTGAACGAGGCTTTTAGCTGCAAACAGAACATTTAAAAAATTCATCAACGTGTTTGCCAAGGTGTGTTCAAACAAAAAAGAGCCGTTTTTTGAGTAATATTCAAAACAACTTTATTCAATTGGTCAGATCAAAATGCGAGTCAATAAATATTGATTGACATTCATTCATATTTCTCATTTTTGGTAAATTATTTTAACACATGTTTTAAATTAGTGTCTTTTTAGTTTTGTAACTTCTAATTAACCACATTTTCCTAATGATATTTCAACAAAAGTATATCATTTAAAGAATACTCCTCTTTTTCTGAAGATGGTTGTCATAGAATCAAATAAAACTATAGAATATCTTTTGTGAATTTACACTTCAAAATGGAATTCTTCTGAGAATGAAAGTAATTTTCATTTTACTAATTTTTTCCCTTTACACTCTACCAATTCAAGCAATGAACTTTTACGGTGACATATCAGTAAATGAGCATTTGCTCAGAATTTGCTCAAATAGCTCATTAAATCGCCCTCGTTTAGTGGTAATCGAAACAAAACCTCAACTAACAAAATTTTTACTCAACATAAATTGCAAACACTTTTTCCATCTCAACAACGTTTCTTTCAGTGTGATACAGAACATTTTAAACGATAGAATGCACAACTCAAATAGGTTTCAATTGATTTTTAACATGAATTGGAAAAATATGGATTTCAGTCAGTACAGATCATCGGTTCTCGAGTTTGCCAAACTCCAACACAATTGTCCTCACTGCTTTCCAAATATAATTTTGCTCAGAGCCAAACAGTCTGTACTACTTAGGTGGACAAAAAGCATGTTCACTTCACTTGGCAGGCATTTTTATGCCAGTGTTTTTTCGCTAGCAAGTTCAAAAGTTTTTCATATTCGACCAATCATCTTTGGGTGTGTTCGCCATGAGGGCATTTTTGTGCCAAAAAGTAACAATGACTTTTCAAAATTAAAAGTTTCATATCGCCATTGCAATTTGCAAAATACCAAGCTCAATGTTTCTGTGAACCATGTACGTCAATGACCTATTTACAGACTTTTTTGAATTTTCAAACAAGTTTATACTTTTCAGAATCTTCCCTTCTGTGATATCTCAAGTAAAGCAAACGGTGAAACGGAAACTAGATTCTCGCTTGAAATAGAGATACTGCATTCATTTCAAAAACGGTTCAACTTTAGCAGCCGTCTAGTAAATGCCAATCAAGATTGGGGAATTATGGTGAATGGCTCGTGGACTGGCGTCATTGGGCACATTGTAAATGGGGTAATACAGAAAGTTATCGAAAGGCATTAAAACATTAAAAACTTTAATGCAAAATCGTATTGCCAAACAGAATTCCCACTTTGGTATTTGCGTAATATCGCACACAAATGCGCGACAGGAATACGTGGACTTCACCCGGTACATCTACCTGAACTCAATCACCTTCATGTCTCACAGTCCTGGTCTGATGCAACGAGAGTGGCTCATCACCAGCCCCTTCTCAACTGTGACGTGGATACTGATCATCCTCTTCCTCGATGGTCTGACACTGCTGCTGACCTTGATGTACAGGCACTGGCACTTCAACGTTTTCATCACCGTTCACCGAGACCTCTTTGGCATACTTCTCAACCAAAACATCATTCGAGACTACAAAGAGTTTCAGTGCTCTGCCACGCGATTAGTGTTGGCATTCTGGATTCTGGGCGCACTCATTCTCTCCAATGCCTACAGCTCTTCGTTTTACTCCATTCTAGTAGTGCCAGTCTTTGGCTCTCCCATCGATTCAATTGACGATTTAATCAAAGTGGTGCAAAGTGACTCCAAGTTTATCGCCATGAATGGTCGGTCCATCTACTGGTACGATCTGGTTAATGCCAAGGCGGATAATTTCGTGTACTACACACTGGGCAAGCACCTTAATCGGTAAGTCGGAGGAATGCTTGTCGTGTGCTTTTTGTGTGCAATGTTCAGCTCTGTTTTCAGGACAAACTTGCCAATGCCAACTAAATCAGAGGAAATTCCACTGCTTGACAACAACTCCGACTTTATTATCATTGACAATCGAATGTTCCTGAGCACTGCCCGTTTCATGAAGGCTCGCTCTGCACTGCACATTGCCTCGGAGAATATTGCTCCGGATTACATTTCTGAAGTTCTTCCAAAGGGATCACTACTTCTGGCCCCTTTTAATATGCTCATTCGACGGATGCAGAATATGGGCCTCATCAATGAGTGGATTGCCAAGACGTATCGCCGGCTGTCTCCCGGTAACCCTGCCATTTATCCTCGTTTTGGTGACGCCAATACACTCTATGAAAATCCCACTCAGACAAACGAGTTAAAGTCATCTTTGAGGGGCTATAAAGAAATAAAGAATCTCTCACTTGGTGATTTGCGATCAGTTTTTATTGTATGGTTCATTTTAATCTCTGCATCTATCGTTGTATTTGCATTAGAGCTGCTGCAGCAGTGGGTCAACTTTTCTAATTTTAAAAAAGTAATTTGATTCCCAATAATGAAAATAAAATACTCCAATTCCCAAGAAAACTCGTAATTATTTGTGCGGAAAACACTTTTATTTGAAATTGCATTTTAACAGCGGGAAAACTAGCAGTAAAAGTGAATAAAATGACCTAAACAGGTGTAAATTGCAAACAATATTTTAAACTTTTTTCCCACTGAAAACAGAGTGGGCAGGGCAGGGCGGCAGCAGGAACTGAGCTTTTTCACAACTTGCCCTCCCAGTCGTACTTGTTGTCGTCCTCGTAGTTCAACTTTCGAAAGAGCTCCTTAAAATCGGCCTTCCACTTGACGTAGTCAGGGGCCTCGTCAAACTTCAGGCTTCGAGTGTATTTGAGAAAGTTGGGGTACTCCTCGGGAAATCCGGCGCACAGCTCCTCCACTGAGGTGGCGATCTTCACGTCGCCGATCATGCGGTAGCGCTCCTTCACGGTGGGCGCCTTCAGGCCCGACCAGGGCAGTTTGCCCTCCCGGAGGAAGTACACAAAGAGGTGAGCCAGCGCTTCGAGGTCGTCGCGACGGGACTGCTCCACGCCGAGGTGCGTGTTGATGCTCATGTAGCGAGCAGTGCCGGTCAGCGACTTGCCCGTGCGGTAGGAGAGGTGCTGTCCGGTGACCGGGTCGATGAACTCCTTGGACAGGCCAAAGTCGACGATGTGCACGAGGTTGCCGGCGGCAGTGCCCGGCAGTCCCAGGAGAAAGTTCTCCGGCTTCACGTCTCGAAAGATGATTCTGTAAAGGGGGACAAAAGAAAGTGAAGTTTAATGAATCGGTAAAGCACTGCTGCAAAGCAAACCTCTTGCCGTGCAGATACTCGAAACGGTCGAGCAGCTGAAGAGTCAGCTGTATGATTGTCTTAAGGGAAAACTTGTGGCCACAGGCCTCGAACACATCCTCGAGGTTCTTCCCGAGCAGGTCCATGACCAGAACATTGAACTTGTCCCACTGCCCAAACCAGTAGATGCTGGGAAAGCCGTGCTGCTCGCCGATCAGACAGTAGAACTTGTGTTCATTGTACAGCTGAGCGGCTCTGTCGCTGGACAGCTCCATCTTGATGGCCACCTTCACCTTGGGCTGACCTTCCAGGTTTTCGCCCACGTAGATGTCGCCAAAGCTTCCTGAAAAAGAAAAAAAATGCAAACTGTAAGAAAGAGAAAACAGAAGATATCAAAGATTGAGCTACGAACCAGAGCCCAGANTTTGAGGGAAAACTTGTGTCCACAGGCCTCAAAAACATCCTCAAGGTTCTTCCCGAGCAGGTCCATGACCAGAACATTGAACTTGTCCCACTGCCCGAACCAGTAGATGCTGGGAAAGCCGTGCTGCTCGCCGATCAGACAGTAGAACTTGTGTTCATTGTACAGCTGAGCGGCTCTGTCGCTGGACAGCTCCATCTTGATGGCCACCTTCACCTTGGGCTGACCTTCCAGGTTTTCGCCCACGTAGATGTCGCCAAAGCTTCCTGAAAAAGAAAAAAAATGCAAACTGTAAGAAAGAGAAAACAGAAGATATCAAAGATTGAGCTACGAACCAGAGCCCAGACGCTTAATGATGCGATAGTTGTAGGCGACGACGGTGTCTGGCTTGAACTCCACCTCAAGGCGAAGACTGCTCGAACTGTCGCGGGATATCTCATTGGTAGACATTGGTCTTGGGCAGAGAAAGAGAACGTCCGTAGCTAGGTGGTCAAAGTTCAAGCAAGCAGTGCTCTAAATAGGTAGAGTGACACGNGAGGCGAAGACTGCTCGAACTGTCGCGGGATATCTCATTGGTAGACATTGGTCTTCGGAAGAGGAAGAGAACGTCCGTAGCTAGGTGGTCAAAGTTCAAGCAATCAGTGCTCTAGATTAGTAGAGTGACACGTACACTAAACGATGAAAACGCGGCAAGTTTGGTCACCACTTTAGAGCACTTTGGTTTGTTCGAAAACTTTTCAGCTTCTCAGCAGCCAACCAAACATTGTTGTGATTTGCCGATTGATTGCTTGCATCTACTTGAATTCTACCAGCGTCACCAAACAAAAAGTATAATTGATTTTATAAGCAGCATTTGCTTTTCATACACGGAATAAAGCAAAAGAATGAATTTGATAAGGATGCAGTTCTACACAGCTCTCAAGCTCGCAGTTTTTCCAATATTTCCGACTGAGAGGCGACCATGTGGCGGAGTTGTTGCTCACTGAACTGCTTGCAAATGGAGTTGATTTTGCTGGAAACGACCAGCTTGTGCTTGCCATCAGCAGGAGGAGGATCAGCGGTGGCCAGGGTGGCTGCAGTACTGGCTTTTCTGCCTGTGAAGAGCTTCTTCAAACGTGAGACATTGCTGGTGTTGACAGCCGATCGCAGGCGGTACACATTTCGGTTCACGGCTTTGTAGCGAGCCGGCGCCTGCTGGTAGAGACGATTGAAGACGTCCATCTTGGCGGTGCACTGCTTGCCCGCCACCAACTTTCCCCTTCGTCCTGCCACCTGCCACTGATCGNAGGAGGAGGATCAGCGGTGGCCAGGGTGGCTGCAGTACTGGCTTTTCTGCCTGTGAAGAGCTTCTTCAAACGTGAAACATTGCTGGTGTTGACAGCCGATCGCAGGCGGTACACATTTCGGTTCACGGCTTTGTAGCGAGCCGGCGCCTGCTGGTAGAGACGATTGAAGACGTCCATCTTGGCGGTGCACTGCTTGCCCGCCACCAACTTTCCCCTTCGTCCTGCCACCTGCCACTGATCGGGCACGACCTGGTTGATGTACGCCTCCAGTTCAGCCAGCTGGCCGCGCAGTTTGGTCTTCATGTCCACATTGGCCGCCTCCCAGATGCTCAGCTCGCGGCCCAGCTCCTCAGTGGCTCGATGGTTTGCGCGAATGACTGACATGTGACGCCGGTGACGGCGGGAAGTGCGGACACTGACCAGCGGAGTTCCAGTGGCGCTGATTGAAGGACGGAAGAACTGAGAGGAGAAGTTGATACGGCGAAAATTGTGTGCCAGCTTGGCGGCAACGCTGCTCGACATCTGCGGCGAGTAGTCGCTCAGCAGCAGACTCTTTCGGTGGTCTTGTCGTTCGGGGTAGTTCTTCAGTGCTTCATTTAGCTGGTGCACTGCAAAGCAAATTAATTAGCAAGTGAGAAATGAGTAAACCCTTTCTAATCGACATACCGAGCTGATGAGAGCAGTCCAACAGTTTGGACGCCTCTCTGTCGTGCACATCCAGGTACTGTTTCATGTGCTCAATGAAAACGGTAAAGTCCTCACTGGTGGTCAGTGCGCCACCGTCGTCCACTGCCGCAGGCGGACGAGTCAGGCTGAAGGAGTTCAGCTGATCATTCACCACCTCGGTTTCATTGAAAAACGCTGCCATCATCTTCTGCTCACTTAGCTGGGACGCTTCCTCCTCTTCACCTTCTGAATCCTTCATCTGCGGCTGCTTGAACATCACCCCCTGCGCCTTCTCTCCGAAGAGCAGCACCTGAGCGGTGTCATCCAGATCGGCGGCTGACGGCTTCACGCAGACGATCATGCTGATCTGCGAGAGGCCGCGCTCAAAGAAGCCCTTCAGCAGGAAGGTCAACTTGTCCGTTCGGTAGGGAATGGGCGCGGCGGCGTGCTTCTTCCCCGCCTGATTCTGGCGCATCACCTGAAAGCAGCCGCGCAGCGCCAGCAGTGACTTGTTGATGTTCGCCGCCTCCACCAGCGTGGCCCCCGTCGCCTGGGTGCTCTTGGAGCGCTCCACGCCGGCCAGATCGACCACCGTCAGCTGGTTGACGGCGAGCTGGCTGACGTCGCTCAGCACCGACAGCCGTCCGCCAAGCGCCGTCTGGCGGCGGCGGCACTTGCTCTCCTCGTAGCTGACCAGCTTGAGGGTGAAGACGGCGTGCGACCGACTGGAGCAGTGGTTCAGCCGAGTGGCCGCCGTCTGTCGGCTGGCCAGCCCATACTGGAAGAGCTGCATCGCCTGGTGGGCGCTCTTCGCCTCCTGCTCACTGCCGCCCTGCACGTAGACGGCCTTCTTCGAGTCGTGGGCCAGCTTGAGGGTGGACCGCTTCCAGTGGATCACCCCTGGCTCCGGCAGCTCCAGCAGGTCGTAGATGTAGTTGTTGTAGATCTCCACGAAGCTGACGAACACCGAGTAGCGACGGGTGGTGAGGCGCTCGCGGGCGGCGGCGCTCAACGGGTATTTGCTGGTGGTGGAGGAGGCGGCCGCATTTTCAGTGCACGTGAGAATTTCATCATCAACAGGCCTGGCGCCGTACTCGCCGCCGCCGCCGCCGCCGGAGAAGCGAGTGTTGATGATGGCGTAGTGGTTTCGGTTGTCGGGCACAATGTGACACTGGCTGTTCAGTCGGCCGGCGAGCACCGAGAAGAGGGCGTCGATGGTGCGCGGCACCAGACCGGCCTGCTGCTGCTGTTGCTTCTGC